CGCGCACAACATTTATGGTGCACTAAGCCATCATGCAACATATCTTGCAAAGGTCCATAGCTGATGCCCACGATCGCCGCCACTTCTGCTATCGTAATTCATCGGTCTCCTGCTTATCAAGACATTCACTCGCTGGACGCGTTCTTCTGTGCGCGATGTTAATGGTTGACCAGATCGACCTTTGTCCGTTACACTCGTTCTCCCCGCTTAAAAGCCTTCTACCTTTTCATGTACCTTCCGATGCGTACTCCATACCATACCAACATGCGATGGATTTCCGCCATTATCTGCCCACAGAAATCTGAACTTAGACGCGTTGCACTTTTCCTTCAAAATTTCCTTCAGAAATCGCATTTTAGTGTGTTGATCTTCGTTGAGTTGAGGTGTCCATACGTCTGACAACGTTGCTCCCTGCCACACGACTGAACGATGGAATACTGCGCGCGGTTACTTACCCGTCATCCCATGCGTACGTGTTGTGTTACGTATCAGCGCCGGCCTGTTTTTATCGCGTAATATTCAAAATTGCCAATACCTTCTGATTTACTCTCATATTATTAGCTTAATCTGCTCTCTGTTTAATACAATCCTTTATTGAGTCATCAGCCGAAAACTGCAGATAATGGAAGGAAGTAATTTAGATTTGCTTGCCAAAATTTTGACGTTGATAATTCGTATTTTACAATGAAAATACCACTTGAACACTTTAACACAGTGTATTTCAAAAATCTATTGTAAGCAGGCACGGTGGAGTAATGGACAGCGGCTCGAATTGAAGAATAGGAGAGGCGAGTTCGAATTCCTGTTAAATCCATTGGCAAAAGTATGAATCCTCTTCTTCTCCCACACCCCAGCTATGGATAAATAGCAGACCTGGTTCTATAGCCTTGGATGCAACTGGTCTACCGCAGAAAGAAATGGCAACCTACTGCGGGAAAAAAAATCAGCCTCGTCAGTCATGTATCGAAAGATACATGATTGCCTAAGCGTATATTACGTTTGGCACATAACTGACTGATTGTAAGCAGGATCCATGTGAGGCCGGAATAAGTAAAACTGGCAGCTGTTCTTGAAAAGGATCTCCAATCAGTGGTTAACTGGGACAAGTAATGGCTTGTAAATTTTAACGCTCCCGCTCCTGCCAAAATACTTTGGTTTAATCACCATAGAGAATCTTTTTTTGCCAAACATCATTATGGCAGATTCTAACCTCCAGGAGAGCAACTCTTTGCACCTCCTTGGGCTCAAATTTTTCACTGACATGAAGTGGGGCGATTATATTAAATAAATTGTTAGGTCAACTGCTATAAAAATTGATACACTGTGCCGTGCCAGAGACGTTTTCTTGACAGAATCTATTTTGCACATTTATAAATCTACCTGTTATAAATCTCAAGATTCTTAACAAAATTCAAAGAAAGGTCCGTAATTATTTACACAATTTACATTATTCGGACTGTTTTCCTCATCTTTATTGTCATATTCACGACGTTTCAGCCGTTGTATGTTTCGGCCTTCTTCAGAGGATATACGTTTGCATTTCGAGACGAATCATTTATTTCATCCAGTGGGGTAGATTGTTCTAGTTCCACGTGCCATGCCTTTACTGGATATCTCAGTTTCAGTTATTTACCTTCAGTAACTCAACTTTTCTTTTGTTCACCTCTGCTGTGGCCAGGTATTGAACCCACAACCACTGAGCCATGTGTCTACATTGCCCAGTGAATAAACCCTCTTCTGCCATCCATTCACTCAAGCTCGGCTTGCTTTCTCCTGTCTCTCTTACCATCAATCTGTCTTGTGAGTATTGAATTTTCCAAGCCCTCCAACCTCATTATATGTCCCAGAAATTTCAACTGTCTCTTCATGATGTGTCTGTAGAACTTTGTCATTGCTCACGTTCGGTCCATGGTATTCTCATAATGTTTCTGTAGAACTACATTCCACACTATTTCAAATAAAAGGTTAGTAAAGAACCCCCTGTCAATACTGGGAAGAGCGATAACAGCTACTGGACTTGAGAAACCTATTTTCCTGAAAAAAAAAAGAGAAAGATTTTATAAAGTTTCAGTTTGCTCGATCAGTGAATGCCAAATGTTTCCTTATAGGGAAACGGTTAATATTATCATTACTGTTATGCTTGGACAGAGATAAACGTCTTTACCATATGAGCTGCAGAGTAGTGCCCACAGCCACGTTATGTTTAGCAGTTGTTTACGTCCTGATAGAATGGGCGCTGTATAAAAAATATAGATTCACTTCGGAATTAAGAGTGCAGTAGTCCACTTCATATGATAAGGTTTATGCGTCGAGTGGCGGAGAAAAAAAGAGAAAAAGAGAAAGGTGTGATGGAGGACAAAGTCGAGATGCTCAGATTAATGATCCGAGGCAGAGGAAGAGAGAGAGAGAGAGAGAGAGGAGGGGGGCAGGCAAACAGACAGGCAGAAAGAGACAGAAAGACATGGAAAGAAAGGAAGAAAAAAACGAGACTTTCGATGCATCTAAGACATACTCACACCCACACACCCAAAGATGAAATAGACAATTATATCTTTCTCTCTTTCTTTTTCTCCCTCTCCCTCTCTCTCTCTCTCGATATATATATATATATATATATATATATATATATATATATATATATATATATGCGAGTAAAGAAAGATTTTACAAGTATACTTCTTATATGTAAATATAGTAAGCCGATGAAAGAAAATCAAGAGGCAAAAAGCAACAACAATAATATTTAGTTGTGTACGCAGTCAATTATTTGCCATGCGTGATACACGCTTAAGCGATCATGTATCTTTCGAAGCATTACTGACGATGCAGATTTTTTTCCCGCAGTAGGTTGCCATTTCTTTCTGCGGTAGACCAGTTGCCGTCCAAGGTTATAGAAGCCGGTCTGTCCACTTATTTACCCAGAAGAAGAGGATTCATCCCTTTCCCAAGGGCATTAGCACGTAAGTGAATGTATTGTAAGGTATTTCGAACTGGAATTCGAACTCGGCTCTCCGATTCCTCAATCCGAGCCGCTATCCATTACTCCACCGTAGTAAGCAGTTAGACAAAAATCGAAGCCTGGCAAGAAAAGATGTTAGAAATCGGAACTTTCGGACACGTCTGTGTCCTTTCTCAACGAGAAATAAAATGAAGTTGGACATTTTTGTCGGGATTCTTTTTGTCTTTTTATCTCTCGAATGTATTTCATCGGCCTACTACACACACACACACACACACACACACACACACATATATATATATATATATATATATATATATATATATATATATATGAGAGAGAGAGAAAAGAGAGAGAGAGGGAGAGCAGATATCATCATTAAAAAGTGACTGTCATTTTCACGCTATAGATGATCATCAGATCGAATTGCTTCTATCTATATATACTCTATACAAAACACTGACCATTTTCCCATAAATATATCAAATTAAACACACACACGCACACACACACACACACACACACATATATATATATATATATATATATATATATATATATCTTGAAAAAGATTTTTAGCCGTCATTTATTATTACTAAACGTGTACCCAGTAAAAATAACGTTATAGTTATGCATACACACACACACACACATACACACACACACATATATGTATGTATAACGTTATCTAGTTCATATGTAAATAGAAATGTACTGAACAAATACTCGCGTCCTTACTGCTCACTAATGCACACATATACAGATTATAAAGACGCACATATAAGCGCACAAGCACATACAAAGAGTGCGTGTTCGTGAGATAAACAGACTAATCCATTCTATTAGTAGATGGCAGTTGAGTGAACGGCAAGAGTGAGTGTGTGTGTGTGTGAGAGAGAGAGAGAGAGAGAGAAGAAACAAAATCCAATTTGAGTTTGTATTCAGAGCATTATGATGTGAAGTGGGAGAAATCGAAAGAAATCGAAAGAGAGAGTGAAAGAGAGAGAAAGAGAAAAAGAGGTTGAGATACATATGGCCGTTGCTGCTGTTACTACTACTGTTACTGCTAATAAGACTCAAACCGAGTCAGTGCGTGTTACTGTAGAGGCAGGCACTGTCGTGTATGCATTGCAAACACGGACCGGTAGCTGTGGCCTTACGACAGAAAACTATAGTCTTTTTTTTTTTTCATTTTTTTTTTTTTTAAACTCGACGCATATACAACATACATAATATACTTACATATTTACTTTTACATACATAGTACCTACATTATCAAACCTGTGTACAGGGTGTCTACATACGTGATTACGAGTTGGTGAGAGACCAAGGAATATTGCAAAAAGAAAAACACGAGGTTATTCCTTCCTGAGTGTCGGTAAAGCTTTGTTATTCAGGTGTGTGTATATATCTCTTCTCTATATATATATCGATATATATATATATATATTATATATATATATATATAATTGCATATATGCATTACTTAAAGTTAAAAAATATAGTGTCTGATGAAGATTGGAAAACAATATTGTGTTGCCCCCTACGAAAACACTTATATAAAACGTTTCTGTGTGCTCACTACTGGAAAATTTAAAATTGCAAGCAGTCTGCATGTTTATGAATCGACTAATATCAACCATATTATAATATCCGGACTAAAAATCGAGCCAATTGAAATCGACGAAGAAAAGAAAAGGAAAAACAAACACAAAACAAAAAAGGAATAATTAAAAATAATAATAATAATAATAAAGAAAATAATACATTTCTGGATTACGGTGACAAGCACTGGTCTTCTGTTGCTGATAAATTTTAACAAAAACTGTGGTGGACAACGCGTTTACATTGTCCGTGGACACCACAGGTAAGGAGACAGACAACGGTCAACACAAGGTAGGTATCTATCTATCTATCTATCTCTCTATCTATCTATCTATCTATCTATCTATCTATCTATCTATCTATCTATCTAGGTCTGTTAACATGTAACTATCAAGCTACGACTGTATCATAGTGTTTTAATATGTATATTGTATGTATGTATCTATTTCACTCTAATCATTATCTATCTATCTATCTATCTATCTATCTATCTATCTATCTATCTATCTATCTCAGCCTGCTCATAATCTATCTATCTATCTATCTATATCGATCAAAGTATGTCATAGTTTAAAGTGTATGCTTGTCTCCATGTATTTAACTTTGTTCATTTCTCTCTTTTCTCTCAACACGCACACTGACACACACACACAAATATATATATATATATATATATATATATATATATATATATATATATATATATATATATATCAGTTTATTCATATCTATCTATCTATCTATCTATCTATCTATCTATCTATCTATCTATCTATCTATCTATCTATCTCATTGACTCACAAATTATACACGATCGAAGCTACACGTGTACATTATTGTGAACAGTGGTAGAAAAACAAAGACTGGGGATTAGTTGAAAAAGAAACCCAACAAACTCCTACTGCTTTTTGCCTGTTCATCTTGATCGTATAACGTGAGCGACAAACTGAAAAGAAGACACGATCGAGGAATGCGGACTGTTTACAACATCGTTTCAAATCCCCCAGCAAACGGCTGAACTAATAAACAGAAATTCACCAAGGTAGAAGATGTCTCCATATTTCATGTGAATAACGTCGTATGATTAATACGGAAAGAAAAAAAAGTGTTTTGTTCATGTTTTAATAATGTATTCCATATACACATGTTCCAACACTGAGCAGCATTATTGTCTCGAAAACCATTATTAAGGTACTAGACTCACACACGTGCGAGCTCAGGTTCGCATAGCTTCGATTAGACTTGAGTTTTATATTCAACAAAACACAGCCTTCGAAGTGATTTATATGTATGTATTTATGTATGTATGTATGTATGTGTGCATGTATGTGTGTGTGTGTGTGTGTGTATATAATCGTGTATCTTGTTCTTTAAACCGTCTGAAGATTACATGTTTAAACGTATATGTGGGGTTATTTCTGCCGCATAATATATATATATATATATATATATATATATATATATATATATATTTTTCAGTAAAAAGACAATGTGAATAAAAACAAAAGGGACAAACCATTCCTTACCGAAGCGTTTCGCCGTCTGATGGAGATTTACAAGGCAAATGTAAGGAGATTTATAAAAAGGATACATACATATATATATATATATATATATATATATATATATATATATATATATATATATATATATATATATATATATATATATATAGTAGTGAGGATAATATTGTAAAATTTATTAATATATATATATATATATAGGTGGTGTGGCACTAAAAATTGTTTCACACGTATATTTATGTATGTGTATATATATATATATATATATGTGTGTGTGTGTGTTTATGTATACACGTATAAAATATGCATAAATATATAAATAAATACTTATATAAACATATAAATATATGCTTATATATAGATATATACAGTATAGGCATAAGTATATATATATATATATATATATATTTATATATATATATATATATATATATATATATATATATACTCACGGTGTTATTCGGAGGTCTTCAGATGATTCTTCATCTCCTTCACTTTTTGCTGGAATTGAGAAAGAAACAGAATGTCTCCGCTATGAAAATACTTTTGTATCATTTTGTCTAAAAACCATTACTTCCATTAATTTTCAAAATAAGTGACAATGAATCTTCCCTATTTCTCTTGTTTTTTCGAAGGATTACCTTCTAAAAATTTTCTATAAGTCTTGTATATGCAGAAATATCTGTATGTCTTGTTCCTGAAAGTAAGTGTAAGCGAAAAGACAAAGAAATTTGTAATTGTAATCAAAATAAAAATAAAAGGGTTTACACGAGGATGAAATATCTTGAAAAATAAATTCATTTTTTGACAGGAATCAGATAAAAAAATATATAGCTTAACATCTGACACAACTCCCCCGACCACCACCACCACCACTTTTACCAGCTGATTTAGTCCCTCCCCTTTAGACTTGGTGCTGTGTCTAACACACACACACACACACACACACACACACACACATATATATATATATATATATATATATATATATATATATATATATATATATATATATATATTGCTAATGTTCACTCATTACAAGACCCAAGAGCCACTCAAGGTAGAGGGTTACTGTGCGCGTAGGAAGGAACAAGCGTTAGGAGTATAGAGCTGAAACAGACTTTAGAAGGAACCGGAAACCCAATCCTGATGAACAGGAAACAAGGAATAAACATCTACTCCTGTTCAAATGACCAGGCAGGATTTAAAACTGTACGATAGCCGAACGTATCTACTCCTATTAATATATATGTATATGTATATGTGTGTGTGTGTGTGTGTGTGTGTGTGTGTGTGTATGTATGTATGTATATATATATATATGGCTTGAAGGCTGCGTTGAAGCATGGAAAAGACGGTCATAGCTCGATGTTGACCTCAGTGTCCATTTTTATATTTGCATACGCTCTATCCCCTATGTTGCGTACTTCTACCCATAAATAGAGCATACCGTTAAACTATATTTTCATCACATGTATGAATCATAAGCTGAGTGCTTCAGCGTGGTGTAATGATTAGCAAGCTTGTCTCGCTAAATCAGTTACGTCTGTAATAGTGAGTTCGATCCTCACTGTGTGCGCTATCCTTTCGGACTTGTGCCGCATCTAAGCTACGCTTAGTAAATCGCTATATCAATCAAAACCTTTTCTTAT